AGAAAGAGAGAAAGAAAGAAACCTGCGAGACAGGAACCTTTATAGGGTCCTGTCACGATCCAACAATCAAACAATACAAACCTCGTCAAGACGGAAACTTCCGGCAGAAATCCTCCCAGATCGTCCTCCCAGATCGTCACACTAAATCCCGTCATCCTACCGACGAGACTACTCGGGAAAAAACAGCCACCCCCGCAAAGCGTGGGCCACTAAGTGATCATTTAGATTCGGAGTCTGAATGACCACTTTTGGGTGTTTTTCTAACTGTCGGTATAGACAACGAACTGGCCAATACATCTGCCACTGCAACGATACGTACTACCATTGCCACAGGACGTGCGCGTTCGAGCAGGATTAGCAAGTAATTGATCGTTCGCCAAGGTACTGTTGAAATCCATCTATTCTTTTTTTTGTATTCCTTTTATGCGCCAATGGTGATATTCCAATGAACATTCAAGGGCTTCTTTTTTATATAGTGAATCAGGTACTGTTTTAAAACTTCTTTTTTTTTCAATTGATGACACAGTTATAGGAACCCCTTATGGGTTGCCTGGCACTGGCATTTTTCTTGCGACCGCCCAAAGGGCGGTCTAAGAGACTTGTGTTTAGTACATTTGCTTCGCTTCGCTCATTAAAATTAAATCTCTAGAGCTTCGGGATCGGTTTAGTGGCATAGTGGGTGGTTGGAATAACTCAGTGCTAATTTATAGACGCCTTTATTAAAGAGTGGCGGCTCGGTGGTGAAATACGTTAAATGGTCGATTTGTTGGCGCTTACACGAATAATAGTAAAAGTGCACTCGTGATGTGTAGATGGTGACCCAAGAGACGAAATTCTGCTCATTAAGGTTCCATAACTCAGTTGGTTAGAGTGTGATGCTAATAACGTCAAAGTCGAGGGTTCGACCCCCTCTGGAACCAGCGTATTTTCTTAGTCTCAGAGTTTTTGTTTCCTCGACTGTTCCTATAACAGTCTACCCTATAAAGATTCACCACCTCCACAGTGGCGGTACTAGCGTATAAACTAGCATGGTATTTAATATGGTATTTTCCAAATTGATACTACAATATTCATTTAAAAAACAGGGTTCAACCTTTCAACTCTCCCATTTCTCTCACATACAACAATTTCTCATATACAATACCACTACTACATACAACACTAAGTATTTAGTAGCACCCCCCTGAGCATCAATAACCGCCTGGCACCGAGCAGGCATACTCTCAATCAGCCCATTCAAGAAATCCTCCGGTACAGCATCCCAAGCATCACGAACAACCCCTCGGAGTATAGTAGGCGTCATATACTGATCTCCATACTTCTCCTCTATCCAATCCTTCATCCAATTCTATACAGATTCAATAGGATTCAAATCCGGTGAAAATGCAGGCCACGCCATTATATAAACACCAAGCTCCTCAAATTATTCAATTGTTTCTTTAGCAGAATGCCCAGGCGCATTATCTTGCATAACAATTGGGTTTCGATACTTTCAAAGGCGGAAAAATCCCTCCATTAAAGGAGCAATGTGCGAGACATAGCCTTCGGCATCAATCCAGCCCCATTCCTTCTCCCAAAAGAGGGACGGGCCTTTTTCAAGGCCTAAAAACGAAGCCCAAAACATCCATCCTCCACATTTCCGGCTTCGAGGTCGAAGGCAGTCAGGATGCCTTTCTTCATCAGCTCGCCGAGTCACTCGTACCTTTCGGTGGTATCCAGGGGTTACCCAGGTCTCATCAGTCCTGTGTTACGGACCTACCCGTCACCAATCAGTGGTGACCCACCGGGTACACAGATGGGCCACCGAGAGCCAATCAAGCAACCACGTGATCACAGGAGGAGTATATCCCTGCACGGGGTAGGATATACTGTCAAACCTCAAATACGGCCTCCCTAGGCCATAAACAGGAACCTTGGTTTTTGTTATGGTCTAGTGGAAAAGTACGCTGTATTTCGTTCAACAGTTATGAGCCCGGATTGTTCCCGCCATGTCCGAAACGGTCAAAAAATCAGAATTATCGAAGTTCACGGTTCGAAC